AAAATAATCGGTGACAGTGAATCACCTTGTTTTAGTGAGGATGCTTCAAGCTGTAGAGCTGAAATGCGAAGTAGATCACCCTGCAAGTAACGAGATTTGAGATCGCACCAAATTTCTTTTGCACAATACATCCAAAGAATGCTCTGTCGGATAGATAAAGAAACAAAATGAACGAGCCAAGAAACCACCATGTTATTGCAGCGCTTCCAAGCTCCAGAAAGATGATCAGACACTAATGGCTTTGGGGGCACTGAGAGCAGTGATCATAGATCTGCTCCAGGAATGATAATTTGTGGAATCAAGTAAAGGGGAAACTAAGGACATGACAGGGTTTTCATTGGGATGAAGATATAAAAAATGGTGGACATTAAAAGAGGGATCAATTTCATCACCCATGGCAACAGAAGCAAAGATGAGTGATGGGGAAGAAGATCGTTAGGCTTTGGATACCATGTTAGAAGTGGACTTTAAGCCTAACTCAATCCCATAAAACCGGCTTGTAAGGTGAGGTTTGCACCCACTTATAAACTATGAATTGACCTTATCTCTAGTCGATATGAGACTTCCAATATTAATAATTTCCACATGCTCATCCATATCAACTTAATCATTTTATCATACAATACATCGTTCTCATGTAGTGGGCCTACTAATCTCATGCATACTCTATATGTATAAATAAACCCGTCTTCCAAAAGACTAGGGGTAAGTGGCCAACAAATTTCTCGAATTCTAGTGACTCTGTTAAGACAAAATCGTTCTATAAGATTTATATGTCTAAACGCTCTCATATGTCATTTACATTATTATGAATGGATCTTTATTTAAATGGGTTTGGAAATGGAACCATATCATTCTTAATCTTAATCTAGTAGTTGTTTAGTAATGATTATTTGTTTTATATCGTTTGATTAGTTATGTAAGCATTGAATGATTACATTGAGATGTTTTTATCCTTACCTAGACCTTTTGGTCCTTGTTTTTTACTTTTAAATAAGACTAGTACTTCTTGATCTTGCATGACACTTTTTGGCAAGATTGATATTTATGGATCTTGCCTACATTTCTCTATATTATACTTTTCAGTCTTCTCTGATACTTCTCGACAATAATGATACTTATCGACTTTGTCCGTACTTCTTGACATTCTTTGTTATTTCTTATTTTATTTGACCCAAGAATGATTTATTCTTAATTTATTATTTGTTTAACATTTAATGTAATCCTTTTCTGTTTATGAATTGTGTAATACAATGATAGTAAAAACGAGTTACAATTATTTACTTTTTGTTATTCGTGAAAGGATTTTCTATTTTAACTTCCGTAGGTTTCACCAAACGTTATTTCTATCATAAGGAAAAAGTGAGAGAGGAAATTCTCAACTCATCTCATCCAATATCTTCTTTTCTTCACTTTGTTGAATATATTTTTATTATTACAATTAGGCCCTCACATAACCCGACCTTAGCCTAAAGAGAGTTAGGGTTTCACGCTTTTCGCTATAAATACCAAAACAAGGGTTTTTATCGCCACAGGTTTACATTCAGGGATCATCTTGTGGAAAAAATCGACATTGTTGATAGAAAAGCGTGAGAGTTTCTGTTGTTCAGGATGAGAGCTAAGGTTAAATGCATTTCCTTTCATTATTCATGTCTATGTAATGGTTATTTTATTTATAATTTACGTGCACTGAGCGTTTTAGGATCCGAGTATAATCATGAATTTGTCTTTGTTCACAGGAATTAGGATGTTTCAATCGATTATCTGATGTTTGATGTGTTTTTTTGTTCGATATTGATTTTGCTTGGACTTTCTTTTTTTCCTTTCTAAATTGCTGATGTATTCCTTGTAAATGGACTAATATGATATATGCAGTTTGTTGTTGTTGTATACGATTTGAAGGAATTCGATGCACTGCTTGATTTTCGAAATTGAAAAGAGGATATTGTTTGTTGGTTTTGGTTTTCGCAAGTGCCATGTTGGATATAAAGTGAATTGCGTCAAGTATCTCATTTGAAACTGATTAGATTAGTTTTGAATTTTGATTCGATTGGACTTGGTGTTTTTCGATACATGGGTATTGTTTCCTGTGTTCCCTTGTGTTACAACCTCGGAATGCTTGTCTAATTGCTCAAATAACAGGAATTTTGTGTAGTGAGTCGTTAAGAGGCCGATGAAGTTGTGTTAATTTCATGAGGAACACATTTAGGTTAAGCAATGGTTCTTGAATCCCATTCTCTGAATTAACTAGTGAATTTTGTTTTATGCATTTGCTGTCAAAAGCACCCGATTGTTTTACATGTTTGCTTCAAATTTCAAAGCAGGGTAAGGGAGGGTTAGAGAAGGTATCATTTTAGTTAGCAAAGGGAGGGGAAAGAAAATAATAGTATATACTGTAATACAGTAATTCCTGTTAACGAAGGGGAGACTGATAGTTTTGTCAACAAATTTTGTGAACACAGTCATGTAATGTGTAGATCTTTCTTTTTTTCCCCATAAATACAGATGTGGAGGGATTCTAGCTAGGATGTCAAAAAAATATGATAAAAAGAAAATTTTTATGGTTAAAATATCTTGTTAAATATTTTTTGTAAATATCTGCGGATGCATGCACGGATTTGGAAACATGTATGGAGCTGGATATTTATCCAGCCGGAGGTAGCGGGGAGTATCCGCCAATTCTAGCCCTTTTTTTCTTCTTCCATCTACAACATTTTAAGCCAAACCATGTAAAACTAATAGTCTCCTACTCTCCATTTTCACTTCACGGAAAAGTGATTTGTCATTTTTGTGAGTGATAGAGGAAGGAATTTAGCTCTTCTAAATTGTGTGAAATCATCACCTATTTTAAGTTGATTCTGTGACTGCAGAGGAGTTATAAATCCTGAAGGGGGTACTGCGTTTATGTTGGGTAAAGGCCTATAGACATTGCTTCATATGTACTGTAAAAAATTGTTCCCTATCATTCTGCACTTGAGATATATGTACTTCACCTACCATGGCTGTTGCAACAAATTTCTGTTTTGCCCATTTGTATCAGACTAACATAATGTTGCTATGTATCAGTGGAAGAAGAAGCGTATGAGGAGGTTGAAGAGGAAGCGCCGAAAGATGAGACAGAGATCTAAGTAGGTGCTTGAGCAGGAGTCAGATGAGCTTTCCTTCCTATACCTAGTTCATGGCATTTTGGGTTTTATGGCTCGAATGATCTTGAGGTCTAGTTGGGAGGGGAGGCATATCTCACGACTCAGTTAGCATTACTGCATTAAGACTATTGAGTGGGTTAAGTTGTTATGATAAGTGTTTTATCGTATCTAATTATGTACTGATTTTGTATACTTCTTGGTTTATCCGAATAGCTTATATATCGTAAGAGTTTCCTGAAATTTGATCATTTTATAGCGATGTTAAAATAGAGTTGGCTGTCCAGGCAACATAATTTACCTATAATTTTTAGCTTTTATTTTATTACCAGGTTTTTTTTTTCTGGTTTATATTTTTAAAAGTAAGAAGTAGCTTTCTTTACATGTATTGATGTATTGCTATTTCATATTTATTTATATATCGAATTATCGTATTTAAAGTTAAAATTAATTTTAATAATATGATTTAATTTTGGACTAAAATGCCAAAATTTTGTAGCTGGTTCCAACACTATATGCTTTACACCTGCTAATTTTTCACACATGTCTCGTATTTATAGGTTACTTAAAAGGTGGTCGTTTTTTAGTTTTAATTTATTTATTATTTTGAAATTTCTTAAACTTTTATTTAATAGAAGAGTATACATGGTCAGGGTTGCTTTGGACTACTCCTAGGACTACATAATTTAGCAATCTGTACTAAAACTACAGTTAACTATATTATATTATACTTTAAAAATAATTAAACTGGATTTTGACTAAAAACTAATTAAACTATTTTACAGTTCAGTTAAAAACTGTGTGAACCATAGATTTATTTTTCACATATTTTTTCCTCTTTCTTTTTTTTGTTCATGACGTTTTCTGTTGTCTGTGTAATACTTTTATTTGATTATCTTACTAACTTGTCAACTATGGTTACATCATTATATTAGAGTGAAAGCATGTGTGTGTATTCCATCTTGTTCGTGTTAGCACCCTTTTATTTGTTTCTTGAATATTGGTACGTTGAAAGGTAATTTGAATTCTAATATTTAGTTTCTTTTGAATCTTGAAATGATTTTGTCTTCTAAAATACTGTACTTAAGCTTGTTCGTTCGTTTAGGCAATGAGCTATATGATCTACTCGCACCTCTTCACTTGTTTGTATGACTTACGTGTAATGTACTTAAAAGGAAGACTTTAAAAGGATTGAGTAGAACCACTAGCAGATGATGAATTTCTTGATTAGGGCACTTAATTTTTTTTACGTTATCTGTCCTGTTTTGATTTGTGATGGAAAANCATATGTCATTTACATTATTATGAATGGATCTTTATTTAAATGGGTTTGGAAATGGAACCATATCATTCTTAATCTTAATCTAGTAGTTGTTTAGTAATGATTATTTGTTTTATATCGTTTGATTAGTTATGTAAGCATTGAATGATTACATTGAGATGTTTTTATCCTTACCTAGACCTTTTGGTCCTTGTTTTTTACTTTTAAATAAGACTAGTACTTCTTGATCTTGCATGACACTTTTTGGCAAGATTGATATTTATGGATCTTGCCTACATTTCTCTATATTATACTTTTCAGTCTTCTCTGATACTTCTCGACAATAATGATACTTATCGACTTTGTCCGTACTTCTTGACATTCTTTGTTATTTCTTATTTTATTTGACCCAAGAATGATTTATTCTTAATTTATTATTTGTTTAACATTTAATGTAATCCTTTTCTGTTTATGAATTGTGTAATACAATGATAGTAAAAACGAGTTACAATTATTTACTTTTTGTTATTCGTGAAAGGATTTTCTATTTTAACTTCCGTAGGTTTCACCAAACGTTATTTCTATCATAAGGAAAAAGTGAGAGAGGAAATTCTCAACTCATCTCATCCAATATCTTCTTTTCTTCACTTTGTTGAATATATTTTTATTATTACAATTAGGCCCTCACATAACCCGACCTTAGCCTAAAGAGAGTTAGGGTTTCACGCTTTTCGCTATAAATACCAAAACAAGGGTTTTTATCGCCACAGGTTTACATTCAGGGATCATCTTGTGGAAAAAATCGACATTGTTGATAGAAAAGCGTGAGAGTTTCTGTTGTTCAGGATGAGAGCTAAGGTTAAATGCATTTCCTTTCATTATTCATGTCTATGTAATGGTTATTTTATTTATAATTTACGTGCACTGAGCGTTTTAGGATCCGAGTATAATCATGAATTTGTCTTTGTTCACAGGAATTAGGATGTTTCAATCGATTATCTGATGTTTGATGTGTTTTTTTGTTCGATATTGATTTTGCTTGGACTTTCTTTTTTTCCTTTCTAAATTGCTGATGTATTCCTTGTAAATGGACTAATATGATATATGCAGTTTGTTGTTGTTGTATACGATTTGAAGGAATTCGATGCACTGCTTGATTTTCGAAATTGAAAAGAGGATATTGTTTGTTGGTTTTGGTTTTCGCAAGTGCCATGTTGGATATAAAGTGAATTGCGTCAAGTATCTCATTTGAAACTGATTAGATTAGTTTTGAATTTTGATTCGATTGGACTTGGTGTTTTTCGATACATGGGTATTGTTTCCTGTGTTCCCTTGTGTTACAACCTCGGAATGCTTGTCTAATTGCTCAAATAACAGGAATTTTGTGTAGTGAGTCGTTAAGAGGCCGATGAAGTTGTGTTAATTTCATGAGGAACACATTTAGGTTAAGCAATGGTTCTTGAATCCCATTCTCTGAATTAACTAGTGAATTTTGTTTTATGCATTTGCTGTCAAAAGCACCCGATTGTTTTACATGTTTGCTTCAAATTTCAAAGCAGGGTAAGGGAGGGTTAGAGAAGGTATCATTTTAGTTAGCAAAGGGAGGGGAAAGGAAATAATAGTATATACTGTAATACAGTAATTCCTGTTAACGAAGTGGAGACTGATAGTTTTGTCAACAAATTTTGTGAACACAGTCATGTAATGTGTAGATCTTTCTTTTTTTCCCCATAAATACAGATGTGGAGGGATTCTAGCTAGGATGTCAAAAAAATATGATAAAAAGAAAATTTTTAAGGTTAAAATATCTTGTTAAATATTTTTTGTAAATATCTGCGGATGCATGCACGGATTTGGAAACATGTATGGAGCTGGATATTTATCCAGCCGGAGGTAGCGGGGAGTATCCGCCAATTCTAGCCCTTTTTTTCTTCTTCCATCTACAACATTTTAAGCCAAACCATGTAAAACTAATAGTCTCCTACTCTCCATTTTCACTTCACGGAAAAGTGATTTGTCATTTTTGTGAGTGATAGAGGAAGGAATTTAGCTCTTCTAAATTGTGTGAAATCATCACCTATTTTAAGTTGATTCTGTGACTGCAGAGGAGTTATAAATCCTGAAGGGGGTACTGCGTTTATGTTGGGTAAAGGCCTATAGACATTGCTTCATATGTACTGTAAAAAATTGTTCCCTATCATTCTGCACTTGAGATATATGTACTTCACCTACCATGGCTGTTGCAACAAATTTCTGTTTTGCCCATTTGTATCAGACTAACATAATGTTGCTATGTATCAGTGGAAGAAGAAGCGTATGAGGAGGTTGAAGAGGAAGCGCCGAAAGATGAGACAGAGATCTAAGTAGGTGCTTGAGCAGGAGTCAGATGAGCTTTCCTTCCTATACCTAGTTCATGGCATTTTGGGTTTTATGGCTCGAATGATCTTGAGGTCTAGCTGGGAGGGGAGGCATATCTCACGACTCAGTTAGCATTACTGCATTAAGACTATTGAGTGGGTTAAGTTGTTATGATAAGTGTTTTATCGTATCTAATTATGTACTGATTTTGTATACTTCTTGGTTTATCCGAATAGCTTATATATCGTAAGAGTTTCCTGAAATTTGATCATTTTATAGCGATGTTAAAATAGAGTTGGCTGTCCAGGCAACATAATTTACCTATAATTTTTAGCTTTTATTTTATTACCAGGTTTTTTTTTTCTGGTTTATATTTTTAAAAGTAAGAAGTAGCTTTCTTTACATGTATTGATGTATTGCTATTTCATATTTATTTATATATCGAATTATCGTATTTAAAGTTAAAATTAATTTTAATAATATGATTTAATTTTGGACTAAAATGCCAAAATTTTGTAGCTGGTTCCAACACTATATGCTTTACACCTGCTAATTTTTCACACATGTCTCGTATTTATAGGTTACTTAAAAGGTGGTCGTTTTTTAGTTTTAATTTATTTATTATTTTGAAATTTCTTAAACTTTTATTTAATAGAAGAGTATACATGGTCAGGGTTGCTTTGGACTACTCCTAGGACTACATAATTTAGCAATCTGTACTAAAACTACAGTTAACTATATTATATTATACTTTAAAAATAATTAAACTGGATTTTGACTAAAAACTAATTAAACTATTTTACAGTTCAGTTAAAAACTGTGTGAACCATAGATTTATTTTTCACATATTTTTTCCTCTTTCTTTTTTTTGTTCATGACGTTTTCTGTTGTCTGTGTAATACTTTTATTTGATTATCTTACTAACTTGTCAACTATGGTTACATCATTATATTAGAGTGAAAGCATGTGTGTGTATTCCATCTTGTTCGTGTTAGCACCCTTTTATTTGTTTCTTGAATATTGGTACGTTGAAAGGTAATTTGAATTCTAATATTTAGTTTCTTTTGAATCTTGAAATGATTTTGTCTTCTAAAATACTGTACTTAAGCTTGTTCGTTCGTTTAGGCAATGAGCTATATGATCTACTCGCACCTCTTCACTTGTTTGTATGACTTACGTGTAATGTACTTAAAAGGAAGACTTTAAAAGGATTGAGTAGAACCACTAGCAGATGATGAATTTCTTGATTAGGGCACTTAATTTTTTTTACGTTATCTGTCCTGTTTTGATTTGTGATGGAAAATTTAAATTTTATGAGTTAAAATTAATACAAATAGTAGTTCAATTTATATTATAGTTCAATTCGTGCAATTTGATAGGATAAAAAATAGTGCAGTTCAGTTCGTTTGAACTACTTTTTAGTTCAGTTAAGATGACTTATGTTTTGGTTAAATGAATGTGCAATTCAATTCATTTTGTCAAGTACTATTTCAATCTAATTTACGATCTTTCCCTTTTATTTAGATTTGAATTAGAACATTTTTGTTACTTTTTGATAGAAAAAGAATTCATAATTAAGTGAGCTAGTGAGGCGATCTGTTTAACTCACCAACCTAGATACAAGTGAACCAAGTTAGGTTGACTCACTAAGTCGTCAACTTGTGATGGGTCGAGCCGGCTCGATCGTGTGACTCATTTTTACAATTCTACTTGAAATGAGGTGTTTAATTCTTTTCCCTACATGTAGTGAAGTTGGAGTATTATTGAGCAGCCAAAAGAAGCTTTATTTTCTATTAATCAATGTTGCTTTGGATGGGTCAGGTTAGGTCATGACCAACAAAAACTTAATTGTTCCTTCCATTTTTTATTAGATTCACTTGTCTCTATTTGTCCATGTTCATAATGTTTGTAAAACTATGAATCTCCTTTTCTACTCTAGGGTTAACATTTATCCCTAATTTAAACTAAGGCTTTGTGTTTGTTAAAATGAAGATCCAAAGCATTTACAAGTTTGACTGAAAACAAAGTTAATATGACATCAATAAAAGTTAATTTATATGACAACTACTACAGGTTTGAAGCCACAACGAACACCATTCCCGTTGTCAGACCATTGTGAATCTTTATGAAATTCACCAACTTCGAAGCCCCAATGAACCACTGTGAGCTTGCATCGCTATTCATCAGCAGCCTCTCACCATCGCGAGCAACACCATCGCGGAATCCTCTGTTGAACCCAAGCAACCCAAGCACCATTCACAGTCTTTCATCTTTGCACTACCGTGACGAACCAACAACCACCATCATCAATCTCAAGCCACCATCGCGAGTCTAGAAGCGAGATCGAGAAACCTTTTGTTGCAATCCACGAGCTTCATTACAATTGCAAATAAAAAACCAGAAAGTTTCAAATCTCTCGAGTAACTAGAATATCATACAAAAAAAAGAAAACCTGAATTCCAAAAACATAGAAAGCCCCAAATCTCTCGAGCAATCAGAACATCTTGTAAAAAAAAGAAATCTAAATTGTAGAGAATAGAAAATCCAAAGACCTATAATGAAATAACCCAAAAACGCGTGTTCCAATGCGAGTTCAAAGGCCAAACTGCAAAATCAATTTTCTTTCATAGAAACCACTTTCATTTACCATGTTTTCACGTCATATTTATTTTATTTTATTTGTCAAGTAAAGGTAAATGAAAATCTAACACCTCATTCAATATTTGTTGATATGGACATTAACTATTTAGAGGTTTTTGTATAAAAAGATCAAATTTAAAAAAAAATAAATAAACCACTTTAAACCTAAAACCAGCTTTAGTTTCAGTTTGCCCAAACCAGCTTTAGTTTTAGTTTGCCAACCCAACTTTCTGAACTAAAAAATCAAAGCAGTAACACCATAACCAATTAGTTTCAGTACCTATCAATCTTCACATATTTGGCACCAGACTTCTTATGTACTAATGAAGATCAAAGGACTGGTTTCTACCACTACCAACTTATATATTAAACTTGCAACCAGAGGTAACACCGCAATATCTCCTATCACGTTAAACAAATCTGCACTTATCCAATTCCAAGCGCATTGAACTACTTACCTTGGTTACTAAATATTCATTTCTTAACCAAAATCTCAGTTAATGGTGTGGTTTTCTGGATTATAAACTATATCAGGTGAAATTCTCCAGCAATCATACAACATTGCACCTTAATCAATCAATTAATTGAATGTTCCTAGAGAACCTATCAAACTCTTCCTATTCTGCTTGAAACCCCTATTCGGACCAATTTCACAACGTCACATACAAATATTGCTAAACATAACTAAAACCTTATTCTAATCAAAGTACATGTTAATTTGCATTCATCATATTAGAAAGAATCATTCACCCATTATATAATCATAACACCATATTTCACAGAATCAAAGATAATGTTTAGCGCAGCTTACCTTGGCTCTTCTTAGTTTCTTTTCTCTGCACCACCAGAATTCTCCTAACCTTGAGATTGATCCAGCAGCTTGCTCTACTGTTCTATTAAAATGCTCCCAGGAAGTTCAAATGAAATATTACAATTTAATGCTTAACTGCATAAGAAGTAAAGTAAGGACTTTAAACATAAAAGGGGGGGAAATAACACTGAGCTATTTTTTAATTTAACATATTCTAAGTCGGACAATTGACTGATGAGAAAATGGGTCATGGTCCACCCAGCCCCGTATAAGTGAGGATTTATAAATCCATAATTATTTTATAAATAATATACCTATCAAGGTAGATAATTCACGTTTGTTTTTTACAACATCGATTGCTATCTGATGCACCATAATAATTTAGGCGTCAAAGTGTCATTTGCAGGCACACACTACCATCCATCTATGGAAGACAAGCACCAATGAGAGAGTGGAAAGAAACCCACTTGATGCATAGAAGATTGAAGAAGTCCATAAAAATCATCTTCATATGATACATTGATTCTGTAAGTACAATTCGCACCACCGTAGGTCAATGATATTATGTGAAGAAAGAAAGAGAAAAACTACGCATATGCTCACTAGTGATAGAAAGGGAGAGGCCACTACAAGTGAGAGAGCACTAGCGAGGAAGCCATATTTAATTGTTACACTAGTGATAGAACAAGTTTAAATACACTTGTTACAACTACTCAAAGTCAGATTACAACATTTAATTGGCTTTTTCTCAAAATCACATATGCAGTTTCTTTTTTCAACATGCCTTTTTCACATTGATCAAACCAGATGGCTAAAATTCGTTTATGACTTTTATGCAAAGTAACAAAAGTCTAAACAAGTTAATTCTGCAATTTGGAATGTGAAGAAAAGGTTTACAATGACTCAAGAATAGAAATAATAGGAGTTCAGCAATGGACTAATGCTAAACAACAGATTTGAAAATTCAAAAAAATGACTCAAGCAAAGAAGATGCAGCTCGCGGCCAACTGCTAAATCAGAATTTGCTATTGTGTTCACAATTACAACCAAGCTATGCTTAGGCATTTGATGGCTTATGTGGTATGTACTTGTTACTAACTCACAATTGAATCTCAAAACAAATTTGAAAGTTGTAAACAGCTTTAAATTGCCAAAACAGATTGCACAACTCAGCAACACTTTGAATGCTAGACTGATGCCACTTATCTTGAACCCGAGCTTTCAATTAATTTGTCATAGCTCATATGGTGTGTACATATTAAACACACAGCCAGCTCACAACAGAATCACGAAATGCTTCTAGTAATGGGCCCTTGAATAGAGTTTGGGCTTAGGCCCAAGTCATCAAGTGGACTGGCACATCTCTGTCCACAAGGACTGATAATATCATTGCTTAAGATGGCTTGAAACATCTCGACTTTTGCATAGGGATATAGCCTTTCGTATGAAGTCAGAAGCTAAAGATGTGTTGCGTCTTGCAAAGGCAACTATGTTGTATGTACTGAGGAGACAAATAGAAGGTATGAAAGAAAAATTCCTAGAATATCTTCTTATCTCTAAATGTTTTTTTGATTCTGATATAGACTTTTGGATAAAGGTATTGTACCGAGACGATCTACACAGAAAAAAGAGAACACAATACAACATGAAAAATAGTACTACTACATACATACATTAAAGCATCAAACGATTAAGTGTCTAGGCATTATATGAGAATAAACATTTATGCACTATCTGTTTGAGTAACACATAACATTTAGGATAAGTTTTATGTATAATGTTTAGCGCTTTGCGATTTTATCCTAAACGGTTTACATTGTTAAACACTATTTCGTTTAGACGTTTTTTTAAACTTCAAAGCAATGTTTGCTTAGACGATCATGTCTTAACATATAGTGTTAGACGATCTTGTCTTAGTAGACAATTGACTCATCAGGTAAATGGATCATGGCCCACCCAAGCCATATAAGTAACGACCCATAAACCCATAATTGTTATGTGACGTACTCTACTAACTTGGACATCAGAGTGTCTTTTGTAGATACACCACCATCCATCCACGGAGAACGAGCACTAAGAAAAGGGCAGAAGGAAACCCACTTGATATATAGAAGATTAAGGAAGTCCATAAAGATCATCTTTACAAGATACATTTGGCTTCGGAAGTAGAAATAGTAAGCATAAATTTGATATATTCGAACAACAAATTTTGCTTTTAGAATTCATAGTTTGAAATAAATGAAATACTTTCAATGAAGAGGGTAAGAATTTGGATTAGTTTTTATGTGTTGTTTCTCAACTATTTCTTCAAAATATAGTGATGAACACTAATTTTGATGTTTTATAAGATATATTAAAGAATTTTAATATATGTGTATTTTTAATGCTCGTAACAAAAACTCCAGCAGGAACCGGGGTAAGCATATATTCATTAGGCAATAAAAATGGCATGGAAAATAATTTATTACCAAAAAACAAACCTACAAATGGATAATACAGATCATTCGAAGAATTCAAATTGCCAAAATATGTTAAATCTAAAGCAAGGGAGAGAATGCAATCAGCATTATATTATCTGCTTGAGCCTTTTCATTATTCATCTCTAGACACTATGTTCAATCAAAATTGCAAGCATTTGGTAACTTGTTTTACTTACCTAATTAACAATCTAAAAGGACAAAACAAGCTGAGAAAACTCCATTCATATCTGAAGGCAGTCATAGGCCTACCTACTTTCTGTTAGGGGTATATGTCACTATTCTGCTGCTATTAATTCCTTGAAGTCGAATTGCATACAAAGCCTTTCAACAGTACTTTGGCTCAGAACCTCCTTCCCACACAACTCTTTCAACAGGTCTGCAGCTATATCTGTCTTCTCTTCAAAAGCAAGTCCTTCCACAATAATGGTATAGGTATTCTCATTAGGCACACATCCTTTGTTAACCATCATCAGAAATATCTCTATTGATATGTCTGTTCTCCGAGCTTTGCAAAATCCAAGTATAAGTGCGTTGTAGTTATCAATATTAGGAACGTGGTCATTTTCTTCCAAAATCCTGAATACCTTAAGAGCCTCATCTAGCATTCCCTCCCTACACATTCCTCTTATCATAGATGAATAAGTAAAGGAATCTGGAGTAAATCCATACTTTGTCATTTCGTATAACATCTGAAAGGCTGCATATGTGTTCCCTTTCCTACACAGGCTTGCAATCACGTTTTTGTAAAAATCATGCATGGGGTTGCTTTGTTTATTACTCAAGTTTTGGATTATAAAGAAAGCCTCCTGTACTTTACCTTGCTCACACAGCATTGCAACAGCACAGTACGTTCCATCATTAGGATTACAACGCCGGTGAATCATTTGGTCTATGCATTGAACAACAAGATCCACTTTCCCTTCCTTGCAGAGTCGTGCAACAATCGGATTATAGCTAGTAGCACTCACCTTGAATCCACTCCTTGTCATTTCATCCAAAACCTGAAAAGCTTGTTCTGTTCTTCCGTGAAATGAAAGTGAAGTAATCAATATGTTGTAAGTGACCACCGAGGGAGACTGGTCCCTTTTATCCATCTCTGCAAGAAGTTCGTTAGCTTCCTCCCACCGCCCTTCATAGCACAAGCTCCTCAGCAAAATGTTGTAACTCACAACACTAGGACTGAACCCTTTTGCAGGCAATTCCCTGAAAAGCCTGATAGCTTCTTCAGTTCTCTCTTCCTTGCACAACCCAGTTAACAGCACATTGTAACTAACCAAATTAGGCTCTCCACCCTGGGCAATTATCTCATCAAGAAGCTTCATGGCCTCATCCACTCCCCTTTCCTTGTACGCCGCTTGGAGAAGGAAAGAAAATGTGAATGCATTTGGAACCAAGCCCTTCTTTCTCAACTTATCCAAAAGCTGCAAGCTCTGCTTCAAGTTACCATGCATGCAAAGGCCTTTAACAAGAGTGTTATAGGTAACAGTATTAGTTGGAAGACCATGCCCCTCCATCTTCTCAACCAACTGAAGAGCATACCCAACATTGCCTCTCCTGCATAGAAAATTGACCAAGTATGTATAAGAGGCTGCATCAGGTATAATACCTGAATCAACCATCATATCCATCACCTTAACAGCCTTTCTAGCTTTGTTAAACTTGCAAAGATCATACAAAAGCTGAGTTGCTTGAGTCACCTCTGGCTTTTGGCCCTTACCCACCAAATACTCTAAATGGAGAAATGCATCATAGACCCTTAACTCTTTGTCCCTAGGGTCATTCCTCCCACCTCTCCAATTGGGGAGATTAAAAACCGCATCTTTTGGGGTAATGGCAATCTGGGTCGAAGCCGAAACCCTAGAAAAACCCTTGTTCATGGAAAAAGTGTGAAGATTCGGAACCTGGGAGTGCAAGAAACCGCCACAAGTGGGTCGTTTGGTTTTAGGGGATAAATTTGCAGCTGGTGACACAGTATTCAGAAGTGAAGCCATGATTGAAGTAGGAAAATGATGTATAACGATGGTGAATGAGTCCAAGTTGATCAAGTTTTGCAGATAGAACAAAAACTAAGAAACATTGTGGACAGGTTCTGCTTGCAACAGGTATGTTGAAACTAGTTACAGTGGATACACAGTGATGTGCGAAGATTGATTCCTCGCGAGAATTAACAAGTGAGAAAGTGAGTGTGAAAGAGAAAGAGAGAAAGGTACCAACAACTGAAGATTTTCATTCAACAGCGTCCGCTACGTTCCCACCACACCTACGTTTTATCGTGTTATCCTCCTGACACAAATAGTTGTGTTTTTTTTTTGAGATAAAAATGGTTTCTTTATTTTCACTGTATTCCAACTCAAAAAATTCTCTGAAACTTTGAAATTTTTTAAAGAATTTCGAAATTAGTTAAAAACAATATTTTAATATATTTAAAAATTCGTTAAAGAAAAAATTTTCAGCTAATTTTAATTTTTTTTCAATAAATTTTAAAATTCATTAAAAATAAAATAAGGTGTATAATTTTTTAAAATACATACAAAAAAAATGTGAGATGGTGTAAAAAAAATACTCACCATTTTTTATCATAACCATAAGAAAAAAAATAAATGGATTATATGAAACTAGAACAAATAAAAAAAAATATTTACTAAAATATAGTTATTTGATAGTTACTCACAGAGAAAATACATAGTTCTTTAGTAGTTACTCATATTTTTTTCACGATAGTTAGAAATCTAACATAAATTAAAGATAAGACCTATTTAGAATATACGAGTGGATACAAACTTTATTTTATAGACTAATTTTGTAAAGTTTAAAATATATAAATATATTAAACATATATTTTATTTACAAAACCAATATTTAAATGTTAAGATTGGAGAACCTAAAAAGAAAATGGAGTATTTCAATTTGTTGGTCTCATCTCACATTGTATATTTTCTAATTAAACACGAGTTTAGGAAAAATACATATATAGAATAAATTAGTCTCTAAGTCACTGAATTATTTTGACTAGTGATTAGGCTTTTAAATTAAAAAAATGCAGTAAATTATTAGTTTACTAGAGTTAATTTAGTTGGATTAAGGTTACTTGAAATGATGATTAGTAGCCAATGTAATATTTGACAAGTATTTGTTTAAATAATTAGTTCTTTTAATATTTGTTATATCCATTGAATATAAATTTTTTCAAAGACTGATTAGTAGATATAAACTTTTAAATCTTCTTTTAGATTATGTTAAGTTAATTTTTAATTAAAATTCATTCTCTTTTTTATTTATATGTTGATTTAGAAAAACAATTTTAATAATTTAAAGCAAGTTAAATAGGCTTCGAAACTTGTATAATTATTTTTAACAGAAATCAACATATTATTTACTAATGGTGTAAGAGGTGTATCTTTTTTTATTCATTTTAAAAATAATCGTCCTCTTAA